TCGACGATATTCTACCTACTTACGGTGAGTAATTTTTTTTTCCATTTGGAGCTACATATTAGCTCTTGAAAGGAGACAAACCAACTTCACTTTAATTCGAAAAAATGGTCACAAAGGCTGAAAAGATCTTACCAGATAATCCTTTCGTGACCGGAAATTACTGTTGCGGGATTGATTTAACGCTTTCACTTACTGAATTGGTGGAGCACTGCGTCGGTAAATTAAAGCAGGGGTCAGGGCTCATAACGTTCAAAACTTCGATGATCTGCAAAATTTGACTTGAGACTAGAGCCAATATAGACCATTGAAGAGGTACTTTATAGTACTATTTCAGAGGTTTTTTTTTTCATCATCAATAGCGAGAAAAAAAGGATTTTGAAACAATAGATCGGTTGAAAGCCATAAATCTAGAGAATGGGCTTCTTTGCAAATTTTTAGCATTTGCAAATGCGCCGAGTAGCGACGCCATTGACGCAGCTCTCCATCACATTCGTTCCTTAGTATCAGTGGCAAGACAACTTGCTGTGGTTGGCAATGATCATCAATATCTAAAAACCAAAATCTACCCTTCAAATAAGCTTGCAGAGAAACAACAGCGATTCTTTTCCAAGAAAATAAAACGAAAACTCCAAAAGAAAAAACCTGTAATTCTCAATCTACATTAGAGAAATTAAATAAAGTTGATCCAGAGGTATGCGCTTTCTGCTTTAAGGAAGATGGCCCTGGCAGTGATGGAGGCTTAGTTGACTGAGTGGAGTGCAGTAACTGTGCAGTGTGGGTACATACACTGTGAGACTATGTTGAAGACAAAGCTAACTACGTATGTTATATGTGTCGCTCTTGAGGAAGCTCTTATTTTGATAATTTACATCAGCATACCTTGTGTATAGCCCTAATTAGTGACTCAGACTAGACAGGGCTCGACTTTCAAAATAAACCTTGAGGCCAGGTAGCTGCTAAATTTTTTAGCAGCTACCTAGATTTGGTTTGGAGCATCAATTTTCCAGTCCCCAAAAATTTTCTAGAGAGTTTTGCAACTGCAAATGAGAAACTCACAAGGGATCTAAGGAAATTGAAAATACAAATGTAAAAAATCTTGGTGGCCAGCTGGTGACTTAGCACAAGAAGTTAATTGCCACTGTGTAAAATCGAGTCACTTTGGCGACCCCACAGGTTACGATGTTGTTGAGCTCTGTCAAGGTTATGTTTCTTGTTCTAACATAACTTAATTTAACAACAAGTAAATAAGAAGCTGATTGCCCAGTTGACATTAATATTAAGGGTCTATGATTCCTACAAGAAGCCGT